TACAAAGGGGACATATGCATGGCACATTGTGTCTTTATTTGATCTCACATGCACCAATGACTTTATAATAACCTGCACCTTTCATTTCTCCACATAAATGATCTTAGGGATTTGGGTCCCATATCACCATATTGCAGAGAGACAGACCATTTTGTTATAGAGAATGAAAGAGAGACTAGGTAGAGAATTCTTTCAAAACCATTAAGAAAAGAAGGATTTTGCATAAAGGGACAACACTCAGCAACTCCCTTTCTAAATCATAAAAGCAAGCACATTGAGTATCATTGTATTAGTTTATTCTAGAGGCGTTTATCAGTCATGAAACTTCAGTGTGCCTTCAATTTTGTTTCCCGGCAGTTCTCACTGCTAGCCACATGCTTTCGTCAATAACTACATCCATTTAAGTTGCTTGACCTTTTAAATAGATAATGGTGCTCAGGAAACAGCCATTTTCTGACAGTGTGTCATTCAGGACTGTATCAATGTACCTAAAAGAACACATTTCCTCTGAACTAGCACTGGCCTTTTTCTTTTAGCTGACTTTTACACGGTAAAAAAAACCCTTCTATTTATCAAAGAATCCCGAAAAAAAAAGGTTTCACATTGTCCACAAACATTTTAAGCAGCACAACTGTTTTCAACACTAAAGAAGTGTTTCTTGAGCACCAAATCAGAATATTAGAATGAGTTCTGAAGAATCATGTGACACTGAAGAATGGAGTAATTGCTGTCATCACAGGAATAAAATGCAGTTCAAAATGTATTAGGTAAAATATAAATACAGTACACATATATACATAGATAGTTTGCATCAATGACTAAGTCAATAGTTTAATATTGCAATGTCATTCTGATTCAATGACAATTCACAAAGTTTCATGTGTAGTTCGCTTCAGACACACTGTCACACCTTTTTTTCAAATTTTCCTAAGTTTTCTCATTTTCATTTACTTTTTTGCTGCTAAGTTTTATGTTTATAATGTTGTGATTAATCTCAGAGTGGGTTACTTTGATTAATAGCTTAGAACTCATTACTGAAGAATTGTAAAGACTATGAAGAAAAGCACTTCTTGAACTAAGGTCACTAAAATAATTATGCATTCACTATTGCACTATGCAATAAACAGTTTTTAGAGACATGGGTGTAAAACAATGAAAGCATTTCAGATGAAAGCTAAACTGAAAACTTTTTTTCCAGTCTTCTTAAAGCGTGGATTCTCTGAAAACCTTCTGTTCTGATTCTCTGTCTGACTACTAAGCTGCTACTTGCAATTTATATGCCAAGTGGCTCTTGGTCAGAATAAATTGCAACTACTCTACTGTATGATCAAACTTCAGGGAAAGGGCACAACAATTACTGTACATCAGAGCTCAGGGTACTTCCAGAGATGAAAAACAAAGACAGTCAGGTAGGAGGAATACAGTAGACATTTTGAGGTATTCTATATCAAACTGCGCAAAGGAAATGTTCTGACTCTGGCAGTTTTGTTGGAAAGTAAGGTCTCACTATGCCAACACAATTTATTTATATACCACACTGAGGTGACAAAGTTTTTGTTGCATTTTAATTATACGCCTCCATAAATGCATCGCTATTTTATAATCACAGCTTAAAATAATGACAATGAACATATTTTAGCTATTTTTAATGGAACCAAAAGCATCTGCAGGCATTATATTGGCATGAATTCACACATTTTAAAGTTTAAATTGTGCACTTAGTCCTCCATCAACATTATCATAATTAGTTAGCAATGATTCTTTAATGAAGAAACCACATCCACATTTTATTAAAATATATATAGTATTATTTAATATTTTCCTGTAATATTTTTTTGGAAACTGTGTTAATTTGATAAATACCAAGTTTGAAAGAGCAGCATTTACCTGAAGTAGATTTTTTTTCTAACAATTTAAAAATGTCCTTATTTTCACTTTTCAATAATTAAATGCATACTTGCTAAGTAATAATAAAACATTAGTAATAGTAGTAGCAGTATGTGTGTGTGTGTGTGTGTGTTAGAAAAAGCACACTAAAGTTTTTCTGTTGTGTTATGTACATAATAGTTAATTAAAACAGTTATGAATCATTGCACAACTATATTTGGATAAACTTAACAAGTGAATAGTTTGTTCATTTTCAAAAAAGCAAGATGTTGAAAAAGTCCTCCTATGAGATTTGAGTTGATAGGTGGTCTGTAATATTGTGATCTACCACCTGACAAAGTTTGAGAACTACTGTGCAAAAGAGCTTTAAAAAATGCCAAAAATACATTAAAGCATGAAACAATCTGGCCAACATTCCAAGGATATATGCCATATCTCCAAATTAAGCATGTTTACCTGTAAACAACTTGTTTATTCCAGTTTTCGGTGAGAAAGGCAGCTGGCCACCCGTGTCCTCCTGTGGTGCAGTGTTTCTCTGAGCATATCTCTAGCCCAGCGTGGCTGATTAACTGGCAGCAGGTGAGTGTAATAGGCCAATTAACTTGCTGCCAACTCACCATCTAGTTCATTCAAAACACAAAAAACACAACAGGGGTCTGTTAAAAAATATATATTACAGAGGCCACCCAGTTGCTCTTCCTCCACAAGGCCTAGGTGGGTTTATAATGCACCAGCACAAAAATGTTTGATATTTAAGATTCCTGAAATGTTTCAAATGCTGTCTGGCTTTAGAGCTAAAGCTACCATCAGGAGTTCACTGGCTTTCCTTATAAGCTGGCCATCATTTTATCTAGTATTTGCAGTATTCTAGTATTTTACTACTGTATTTTAAATTTATTATAGCAAGTCTACAAAAGCACACACACTGTAAATGACATCATGCCTTGTCTGAGCCATTTCTAAAATTCATTGTGTCAGTCATTGTGTTTATAATTTTATGTTCATTTATATCATTATATCATCACCATTATATGATCATGTATATCAAAGGTAATTTTTGAAATTTATTGTTAAGTATAATGAAATATATGTTGCATTTAAGTGCTTTAAAAAAATAACAGCACAACAATTTTTATGTAGGTTTCTGTGTAGTAAATTAACTAAATGAAAGGTTTGGTTAAGGGTTTTTGATGGTTTTGAAATATTTTTATGTGACCTTGCATGTTTTGAGAGGTAGGGAGTTTTATGGTCTGATAGTGAGGGGTGTAGTAGTTTGAATCTTTCAATGCCATCTCCAGATGTTAAAGGTCTATTGCTGGGGTGTGTGGGTGGTCTTTGATGATGCTTCTATCATACATTTCCTAATCAGATGAGACAGCAATCTCAGTTAGTAACTAGACAGGTTTCACCTCCCGCTGTAGGGCTTTACGGTCAGTTACCATACCACACTGTGATGCAACCTGTCAGTATGCCTCCAGTAGGGATTCTGTAAAAATTAATAAGGATCTGAGGAAATGTCATAGCTCCCTTAAATAATTTAAAGAAGTACACAAGCTGATCCACTGTTTAAATCACACAAGGGGTTCTCTGTGAGATGAATGCTAACAATTTTGAAGATACCGATCCTTTTCATGTTGATGCTGATAAGGATATTGCGGTAACCTAGCCCAGTGGTCTTTGTCTTTTTCTGAAATAATGGTATTAAAGAAAACCTGCCTATGTGTATTTTTCTTTTCCACATGGGACAGGACAGTATTTTTTTCAATGAAAACAGTGTGACCTATAGATCTGTTGGTCCAGTATAGGCAAATTGGTAAAAGTGTGCAGTGCCTGGAATGGTGGGAATATTCTAAGTACAAGTTACATTAAGCTCAGTCAACAGCATTTGCCGCAATATTGCTGATGACTACAAATAATAACTCATCCCTTGTGAAAGAAAGAAAGAAAGAAAAAGAAAGAAAATCAAGGTTATTATGAGGCACTTACGACTGAAGGAAATAGGGCACATTTTTGAGGATTTAAAAGCAGAAACAGGAAGATTATAATTTTATAAAATCCCTTACATTAATTATTCTTTAAAAAATTTGTATTATTGAGCTTTTAATGTTGATCTTGTCATTTATACAGTTATTTTAGGGTTTATCCACCTCATTTTGTAATGCAGAATAAGCCATTTTGTGTGATTTTGTGAGAATTCTGATTCATTAGCCGCTATAGGTAAATAACTAAGAATAACAAAGTGCAGTAAACAGTAAAACTATTTGGCTATTATAAAACTATTTTAACAAACAACAAATACCAGTTTGCAGTATCAAGCAGCATAATGGACTGTTTTTGTACAGCTAAAATAACTGAAAGCAACTGACACCAGAAGCCTCGAATGTCTTGTACCTAATGTGTATTGAGTATTTTCAAATGTACAGATTGGACCCATTCGTTTCCACTGTAAGTGCCTCAATGTAACTGAGATTTTTACAATTTTTAAAGAAAGTGAAGGCCAAGTGGAAATTAGTTTTTAAGGTAATAAACATTGTACCATAAATGTTGTCAAGTGAGCTTTACTAAATCCAGAATACTCCTATTAATATTAATGACTCAACATTAAATACTGAGGTGAGATAGTTCACCTTCAGTTGCTAGTCCCCATTGACTTCCATAGTATGGAAAACAAAACACTATGCAAGTCAATGGGGACCAGCAACTGAAGGTGAGCTATCCCTTTAAGGTCACTTGGATGTATAGGAGATGTTAAAAATGTATGTGAAATGAATATACCTGTTTGTTGATTGGTGCAGAATCTGATCCATCTGGGTATGCCTGTCCAACTGAGTTGACTTTTAGCAGCAATCTCACCTCATCTGCACACAGCGAGAGCACCTGGCGTCCTTGAAGGTTACAACTCTGTTGGCTGGTTCTGGCTCTGTTGGCTGGTTCAGAGCATAAAAGGTGTTGAACTCGTTAGGCAGAGAGGAATCATGGGAGGATGCACACATGTTCTTCTGTTTGTAGTCTGAGAGGACCACTATACCTTGCCACATGTGCTATGGGTCATTAATGCTAATGTGTTCCTCTAAATTCTGTCTGAGTGTGTTTTTCCCTTTTTGGATTGATCCTGGTTGACTTCAGTATTTAAAGCATAATTACAATACAAAATCTGTCGCTTTGATAAAAATATTAACTTCTCATAAATTATTTCTGGTTCTTTATAAAAGCATGTACAGTATTGTACAAACGTTTGGGGTTATCAAAGAATCCTGAAAAAAATTTATTTAATTTTTTCACAAAAATATTAAGCAGCAAAACTGTTTTTTAACTTTTTTTTCCAGCACTAAATCAGCATATTAGAATGGTTTCTGAAGGATCATGTGATAATGAACACTGGAGTAATGTTGAAAATTCAGCTTTGCCATCACAGGAATAAATCACATTTTAAAATATATTCAAATAAAAAAATTATAATATAAAAAAAAAAGAAATAGAAAGTAATTTTAAACAGTAATAATATTTCACAATATTACTAAATGTTTTACTGTATTTTTGATCAAATGAATGCAGCTTTGTTGAGCAAAAGAGATTTTCTTTGAAACATTAAGAAAAATCTTGGAGTCATCAACCAGCTGACTATTCATTTATTAAAGTTGCCTGATTTATAATTTTTTTCTCAATTTTTTATTATTACTATTTTTCATCACTTTTGTTCATAAGGTAAGTTCCTGACCCACAAGTTGATCCCATCATTTCTGTTGTGTTTATACAATTTTTGTTTCTCGTTTTAATGGCATTTACAGTCCATGACTAGAAAATTAGCTGGTGCTTTAATATTTAGCTTTATTGATCAATTCTTTAGCAATATTATTAATATCATGCTGTCATCTCTGATTGGATGACTGATCATAAGTGGTTTCTGATTAAAACATCTGAGCATGCCTGACTTCAGGCTAATATTGTGAATGTACTTTTCCCCAGATGTAGACTCTGGCACTGCTGTCTCTGCTTGATTCAATTCTTAATCAGTATATCCAGATCTAACCGAGATGATTGCTTACACAACTGCAATTTCTCTGCAAAAAACAGCAACCACAATATAGTCTTTAACCTTCCCTTTAAGTCTGGTGGATTTAGTACATATTTCAGGCACAATCTTTCATCAACAGCACATCACAGATTTTAAATACCTAGTGTGTAAAATGGAACAACATGCTCCAAAACACACAAATGGTCTGCAATACAATACCCAGAAGAATTGCATGGTCAAATTCATTACACTGTGTCAGATGATGAAAACATACTGAGACCATTGTAATATGGCACTGAAAAATTCAACATGATTTGGCCAACATGCTGGTGTATTTTTTTAATAAAAAAAGTGGCCTCCTCGCTACAAAACCTATAAAAAAAAGTATACTTTTATAGTAAGATGTATAATTTAATAAGGATAGTAAGTGGCCACTTTTATTATTAAAAATAATTTTTATTTTATATATTAAGTCATATATTATCTGTTATGGCTCCACTCTTGACTTACAGATACAATGCAGGCATATTTTTTATTAGGACACATGTGACAGCTTATTTCCTCATGCCTCAGGGCTTGGTTATGAAAAGTCAGCTAAGGCTATTTTTGTGGGGGAAAGAGTGTGGGGGGGGGGCTAAAGAAAGGAAATTAATTTTTAATTGATTACATTCCTCATGGATTAACAAAAAATAAAAAATTCCAACAGCAACCTCCCCTTTCCATGAAATGTCACAATGCTGAAACAATTATGGAACTTCACATTCCCAGACTCAAATGAATCCGAAAGCTATTTCTCGTAAAATTACCTGAGGCCCAGCTGCAGAGAAGGGCATTCCCTCCAAAAAAAATCCAACACACACACACTGTAAAAAAAATTCTGTGACATTTACAGTAAAATACCGGTGGCTGTGGTTGCCAGAACTTCCCCGTTAAAAATATGTTAGAAACATTTTAGGTTTTACAGACTTAACTTAAATTCACAATAAAAAAAAAACATATTTCATTAACTGATGTAATGTTAATAAACCAGCAAATTGAAGTACTATTATATGTTTTGAACCATTGAAATGCTGATAACCACCAAAAACAGGTGTGATAAGAAAGTCATATTTTTTTTTTCAAAATATTTGGTCATGGGACATGATGTGAACACAAGATTCCAATGCAACTGTATTCATAACAGCAGTCCATTGCAACTTATTCTGGCCAAAAACTGCCCTGAAGAAATAGTTTGACTGACATAATACTCTTTGTGGAAATCTAGTTAACGGGCTACTAAAGTGCTTCAAACACAACTTTCTCAGAGATTTGATACTAACATACCAAACAAATACGGTGATAATGTTATTCTAGTAAACTACTAATTTAAGTCTGAGCATCTAGTGGGATAATTCACCCAAAAATGACAATTATCTACGTTTACTCACCCTCACAGAATAAATCTTGAATAATATTTGTGTAGAATGTCAGTGTTTTTCGTCCATACAATGAAGGTCAATGTTGTTTGGACCCCATTCTGAAAAATATCTTTCTTTGTATTCTGCAGGAGAAAGAAAAACCATGACTGTTGAAAACCTAAATATACTTCAAGAATGAACATCAGTGTCTAAAAAGTTACCGCATTTTTGCAAATCAGTGGACAAATGCAGCATTAAGTGCAAATATTTTATCACTGAGATTTTGAGTGAGAGAGTGTGAGGATTCTGATGTGCACCTTGTTCCATAGATGTCTGTTTATGTAACAAAGTGTGATGAAATGATTCTCCGTGAAATCCACTTCACCTTAGAATAAAGAGATTCTTCTCATTCCATTAATGTCCCAGGTATTGAACGCAATTTTCTTTTCCCACTCACACTCACATACACACACTCTTGGATTCATCACAGCTATTTAAATGAAAGAAAGTTCAGATACTACTTTGAACTATACTTTTCATTCTCAATGTATTGAAAAACAGTCAGCATCTGCTCTTCTGATGACTTTAAAAGGGGGCTATATATTAAATGACTGACTGTCTTTTAGGCAGCACAGAGGGTCCATTTTGTTAGCGGTTCAAGCTCACCAAGGCCTTTTAAATATTCATTCATAAACTCCTGAAGCCATCAGTCCACATCAAACAGTCAGCCCACAGAAAAAAACGAGCAAGAGAGAGAAAAAAACATGGGCATACAATACAAACAAGACCATATGCAGACAGAAGTATGTCTAAATATTTATGCTCTAAAAATACCATCCTTCTCAGTTTGTAAGCTACAATATGTATTCTTACAATACATATAAGTATATATAATATATATATATATATAAGTATATATAATATATTTGTGAAAAAGGCCCAGCAGAGGTTGTACTTCCTTCGCCAGCTG